ATGTAACCTTTGTTCGGTCTCTCGTCGGTCTTGTGTCTCATTGGTGTGACCAGGGTTCTACACACGGCATGAATAATGAGACGAACGAATAGGAATGATTTGATGGTATGGACAGCTTCAGGGATATTGATTCAGTGCTTCCAAGACTGACATTAATATTTAATTCAATTCAATCCAACACAAGGTGTTTCAGCTTATGTTTATTAGCAAATGATGTAAAGAGGCAAATACAAATAATAGCAACAATAATATACAAACATATTCTAAGATAGATCCAACGCGGCTAAAAGTCAAATTGCGGAAATTATCACAGATTAAAAGATTACAAATATCAGGTACAAGGAAATAAGAGCATGTAACAGAGAAAATAAAATCAAGAATTACTCATACAATTACACATTATGTAATCAATTATTACTGAAAGGAAATAATGGTATAATTTAAGGGTGTATTTATTTAGACTATTCTAGGGAAAAAAAGAGAGAGAAAAACGTACTCAGTATGTGAGGAAGATAGAGAAAGAGAGAGCAAAAGCGTAGACGGGACGAGGAAGAAAGGGAAAATGGAAGAGGGAAAGAGAGGGAGGGACACAGAGATGGAGTGGGAGGCAGAGAGAGGGAGAGAGAGAGGAAGAGCGAGAGAGGTAAAAGAAGAGACGGAAAAACAGGAAGAGTGGGAAATAGAGAGAAAGGGAAAAGAAGAGACAGACACAAATATATAGGTTCAATTTAGGTTCAAATGTATTTTCCACTTTCTCACATAATTATACATATATATAACACAAACAAAATAAAGCAGGGCATTACCAAAAGCGGTACAATAATAATGGTGCAATTTTAAAATGATGTTAATATATACGTCTTTAGTGAACATAATGTGCATTGCATCATTATAAAAAAAAAATTAACAAAATAATCATTCTTAATTAGATCATGATTTGAGACGAAGTGGAGGAACCTAAAAAAAAGGTGCGGAGCTTGTAAAGCTTAAGGTCCTCATTTTTAGGAAAACAATTAAACATGTATTCAAGAATGAAAAAAAGAGGGGAAATAACTTTTTTAAACCTAGTACTGTTATGAACCTAATCAAAATGATCAATCAAAGACATTATACAAAAGAAGATAGATCCAAGTTTTGAACATCACAGGACTCCAAATAATTAATTTATTCAATAGTAATAAGATGAAATATTAATGAATGGTTGCTTGTTGTGTTTGTTTATTTTGTTATATCTTAGCTGTTTGTGACATCCTGTACTACTCCGACTTTGCAGTCGTTTACATTATCCTAAGTTTCTTATTGTTCGTATAATTGCTTTCTCTCAGTTTGATCAGGAGAGTATTTTTCCTTTAAAAGAAAATCATAAAATTCATCATTAATATCTAAAGCTTGGACATATTTTCTTCTTTCTTCATAAAAATGGTCTATGATAACATTTAAAGTGTATTTTTTTAAATCTCCCTAGACGTTGTGGCGTGCGCCTGTAAACCAGCTAACAATAACAGTAACAAACTGAATCAGCCGAGGACGCAGGTTCGAAACTGAGTCACGTCTTTCGGATGGTGACATTTAAAGGTCGGTCCCCAGACATAAATAATCATATCTGACTGATACACGTCTGTAAAAACCCAATACACACATACAAGCAGACAAATGTAGACAACGATGTCGTACCATATAACCACTTTAACAGATTTGTAGTACCGAATAAGAGTCATTCTAAAAAATATTTATAAGCCAAAAGAACATATCATTTTATTTATTTCAGTCAGAAAAAATACATCATCGTGAATTATCTCGCATATAAATTCATAGGCAAATATATGATACTGATTTAGTAATACAAAAAAAACGTTAAATCAAAACAGAGTGGTGCGTAACTATAAATGAGTATCAAGACTGGTAAGAAATTTAGTAGGAATGGTATGGTCTAACGCATATCTTATAAAAGGTCTAAAACATGAATGCCGCATCACAATAAGCCCTTCGAACGCTTCTGACGTTTCAAATAGTTTTCAAAATCACATGAGACACCGTACATTAAAGCCCCACTGTCCTACCTTTAGCTACTTGCTCCCTCTATATAGAAAACTTCCCCAATCGGTGCCTGTTGATCCCCCATGATCCTCTTTTTCTTATGTTAGTTGAGAGCTGAGTTGATGAGATAACCACCTGTGTAGTGACCTTGCAGTGTGGTCTAATCCTTCCTTTACACTAGTAATGACGGGTTTTAAGTTGTTTCTATACTGTAAAAGTTTTACGTGTTTTGTGTTAAAAATTTAACTTGGAATTGATAGGTTAAGAAAAAGTATCGTCTCCGTTGCAACTTAAATTTAGATACAAAATGAAGACACCAGCTATGGAATACATGTAATAACGATACAAAATAGGAAAATCAATATTGTCGTCCAATACAGCGCAGGACGATAAAGATAAAAATGAAAAATCAAATAGAAATTGAAGCTCATAAATCCGATCTTTGTAGTAACTCACATAGCAACCTCCTGTTTGTATTATTGATACTGAAAATCCTGAGAGGGCTTTTTTTTCTGCGGCGTAGCATTATTTCAGTTACCAAAAGGAGACTTCTCTTGATGACTGAACAACATTTAGCGGAAAGGGGGATACAAAGGGGGTTGTGTCATATACCATTTCCACCCCTCCCCTCCAACACACACACACACACACCCTCTCCTTAATCTATTATTTCTTCCTTTCAATATTACATTCGATTCTTTCTTTAATGTCTTTCAGGGGCACTCATGTAATTACGCAATAATTGATTCTTGTTGTGTTATCAATGTGTGTTTTTAATGGCCTATATGACGGTCGCAGGTATAAGCGATGAGTTTTTTTACGTTGCGTTATAACGTGCACTAATACACTGTCGCTCATAAAGTTGGAATATTTTAGTTTTACCCCAATTTATGGAATTATTTTAAAAATAATTATAAGAAAATATATAGATAATAGTATAATGACAGTACTGAGGATTAATGCCCCACAAAAGGGCACTAATATAGCACATCGACACGGTTTTTATCATGGGGCCTCATAGTTACGAGGCCGTTGCTTTGTCACTAAACCATGACTGTACGCAGCGGGGGCTAGGGTAGGGGGCAGTTTCCATAAATAAAAAAAAAACCCAGAAAATGCAATAAATTTTCATTAATTTATTGCATTTTGCCCCGATCCCCAACATAAACAAAATCATCTGGACTGCCATGCATTATGGCTCTAGGCATGGGCACACAGAAGATTTTTTTTATGTTGGGAACTGGGGTAAAATGCAATAAATTATTGAAAATTTATTGCATTTTCTGTGTTTTTTTTAATTTATAAAAACTGCCCCCTACCCTAGCCCCCGCTGCGTACAGTCATGGTTCAGTGACACAGCAATGGCCTCGTAACTGTGAGGCCCCAGGATCAAAACCGTGTCGATGTGCTATATTAGTGCCCTTTTGTGGGGCATTAATCCTCATTACTGTCACTTATGACTTAAGGGCGTAGGTACCCTAGTTGATAAGCATTGTAGCATACACATGCTTTAGCAGTCACGCATATTTTGCACATTATTTAATTTCAATACTCATATCAACAACAAAACTTATCAGATATGAAATGGAAATGTCGGGAGAAACCAATGCTGTCCGAAAATGAAGCGTGGTAAAAAAATATTAATTTTTTTTGTTTAAATATCAACTTATTACTGCAATTCACATCGATTTTGCCTGGCGTACTTGTAATTGTAATTCTTGTCCAGCAATTTCTCCACCTTCAGAGCTGCTACCTATAGCTTGAATATTCAATTGCGATTGTGTTGGTCGGGTAACCGATGAAACGATTACCCCTTGGTTTTCGAGGACGTGTATTGCATATAACGCGCGCGCGGCGCGCTCGCCGCACGCTACATCAGTTCTTCTTGCGATACGTGACAACCCGAAACTTTAAAGGGACATGTCGACAAAATGGCAGCTTCCCTGGTCTACAGCAATGCTTTTTATATCATATGAAGCGTTTTTTTACTCTCTATGTCATGATAATGCTTCATAGTCGAGAGGTTAATTCCACTTTAAAAGTGTGATGTCGTTACATAAAGGGAAATTTCAACCGAAAATTGCGTACATTTCTAAGGGGATAATATGACAGATCATTTGAAGTTGTTGTGACAACATAAACTTATGTATATACTCCAGTACCCAATGTACGTCTCGTGCGTTACCATCTAAGTTTACTCTCGAATTCCTTCCAGTATTTCGTCTAGTGTCGGGTAAGATTGAACACGTGGAACTTTCAAAACAAGCAACCATTATTGTGCTTTTATTTTATTTTAATTTTTGTTGTTGATTTGTTTTTCTTCTTGTTGTCTTTGCTTTTATTGTTTTCTTTTTTTTTTTTTTTTATTTTTGTGTTATTATGTTTAAGACGGTAATGCCCGCAGAACAGAAGGGACAGTTAAAAACCTGAAAGTCGTGATTATCCTGCAAACATAAATTGAGCTTTTTTAAACCTAGTACTGTTATGAACCTTATCAACATGATCAATCAAAGACAATATACAAAAGAAGATAGATCCAAGTATTAAACATCACCGCACTCATCATTCAATATTCATGAGATGGAATATTAATTACATTTCTGCATTCAATGAAAGTTTGCTTGTTTTGTCTGTATATTTTGTTATCTCTTAGCTTTTTGTATAAAACATCCTGTACTACTTTGCAGTCGTATATAGTGTCCTAAGTTTCTCATTCTTCGTATAATTGCTTTCTCTCAGTTTGATCAGGAGAGTATATTTCCTTTAAAAGAAAATCATAGAATTCAAAGCTTGGCCATATTTTCCTCTTTCTTCATATAAATGGTCATTGACAAAATTTAAAGTGTTAACAAAAAAAAACTCCATATGCATTGCGGCGTGTGCCTGTAATCCAGCCAACAATAACAGTTACAAACTGATTCAGCCGAGGGCGCAGGTTCGAAACTGAGTCATGTCTTTCAGATGGTGACGTTTAAAGGTCGGTCCCAGACGAAAATAATCATATCTGATTAATACACGTCTCTAAAACCCCAGTATACACATACAAACATACATATGTAAACAGCGATGTCGTACCATGTAACCACTTTAACAGATTAGTAGATGATAAGCACCGAATGAGAGTCATTCTAAACAATATTTATAAGCAAAAAGCACATATAATTTTATTTATTTCAGTAAGAAAAAAAACATTATCGTGAAGTATCTCGCATATAAATTCATAGGCAAATAGATGATACTGCTTTAGTAATACAAGAAAACGTTTGAAATCAAAACAGAATGATGAGTATAAAAATGAGCTTCAAGATTGACAGGAAATTTGGAAGGAATGGTATGGTCTAACGCATATGTAACAAAAGGTCTAAAATATTTATGCCACATCACAATGAGCCCTTCGAACGCTTCTGATATTTCAAATAGTTTTCAAAATCACATGTACATTAAGTTGATTATATACTGAAACAGTTTTACGTGTTTTTGTGTTAAAAATTTAAATTGGAATTGATGGTTTATCAATAAAAAATATAATTTCCGTTGCATCTTGAATTTAGAAACAAATTGAACACATCAGCTATGGAATACATGTAATAGTACGATGCAAAATAGGAAAATATATATCGTCTAATACAGCGCAGCACAATAAAGATAAACATGACAAATGAAATGGAAATTGAACCTCATGAATCAGATCTTGGTAGTAACTCACTGAGCAACCTTCGGCTTGTATTATTGATGATGTAAATTTTGATAGAGCTTATTTTCTGCGGCGTAGCATTTTTGTGGTTACTTCTCTTGATGACTGAACTACAGGTAGCAGGTAAAGAGGTACAAAGGGATCACGTCATATACCATATCCACCCTTCTCCCCAACACACACATTCGCACACCCTTTCCTTAATCTATTATATCTTTCTTTCAATATTACATTCGATTCTTTCTTTAACGTCTTTCAGGGGCGCTCACGTAATTACGCCATAAATGATTCTTGTTGTATTATCAATGTTTTTTTAATAGCCTATATGACGGTCACAGGTATAAACGATGAGCTTTTTTTCGTTGCGCTATTACGTGCGCTACTATAGTACTAATCAACCCTCTGAATGTAAATAGCCTATACTCTGTAGTGACTAAGGCAACCTTTGCACTTCTGTCATCTAGCATTCACTTTTTGAATTATATCATATTTGCATGATTTGCAAGGATCGTTCTGGCAGTCGCTGAAGTCAACCAACATGTACATCCTATTATGCATTTCTGAAGCGCCGGAATGTGTACGCCATTAATGACTTCTATCATTATCAACTTTGTTTTTCATTTTCATTTATCAATATGCATGTGAATGTGAATAACCCATAGACTAGTAACATTTTTTGCGCTATCCTTTCTGCATTAACTCATTAAACGATATCATCTTTAGATGATGCGTCAAAGACTTTGCTAGTCGCTAACGCATTATTACGTCAGCCCAATGACGCATCGTATGTTATTGGCATTAGTTAACGCCAGAGTGTTATCAACAACCTAAGGTTGAATGCGCAGTGCATATAATTTCTCATAAGCTGGTACAGAATTTGCAATTATCTCTTTAAAAACGGGTGACAACTCCATTTCTTTGGTAACATCGGGTGCCTTGCCAAAACCTTGCCCCTTCATTGCATTAGACAAGATCACACCGTTCTTCAACTTAGAATGTGCCATGACCCCTACATCGGTGCAGTGCCAGTTAAGCTGGTCTGTATCAACGCTCTCCCATTCCAGCATCTTGGGTGTATACTCGATGCCCATGGCTTCGCAGTATTTTGGGAGCAGCTTCTCCGGTTGATTGACGAGGTCGTCGGCGTCGATGATAGGAGGGGGTCCCTGGTCGAGCTCGGTTTCAACGTAACGGTAGAAGCGCTCCAAGTCGTCATATATGCTTGCGTGTCTGCCGATAAATGCCTCCACGTCATGGTCGGGTGACACGCTGTTTGCCATACGGTACATTGAGCGGAAGGACTTTTGCGGATGGCGGATAAGAATTGAGTGCTTGAACCCTTGTTCGACGACAGCGAAATCATCTCTGATGCCTTCCACCATGCCCTTGACGAAAAGGACATTGGCACCAGGGTATTCAGCGTTGAGTAAACCACTGATGTAGCTATGCGTATACCTGTCATCGGCCAAATCATCTATTGAAAGAAAATGTTGAATAGCTAGGAATATAATCTAGAATTTATTCCATATATAATGCGAAAGATAATGAGAGAATAACGGTCGCATAGCTTTATTCAAAGTTCCCCATTGCCGTCCTCCATTCCGAAATTTTCAAATGGTTTTGCATGAGAGTTGACAAAGCTGTTTAGGTTATTTCCTTATGTTTATGAACATAAACATGTACATGTATAATATGTATATATTGACAAACCGTGTTAAAATGACATCGTATTAAAATAAACTAATGCAAAATGATTGTGCAATTATTGCGTTAAATAACTAACTACTAATTACTCGTTACTGATCTCTAATTGGTCATTGCTGATCACAAGTTACTTATTACTGAGCACTAATTACTTTTGATTAGGAGATAGCGCAATCAAAATGGCGCATCAGGTGTCGAGGACATTGTTTTAGATTTTTCTACTAACCTATTGCCAATTTACCAAACTTGACATTCTTGGTCCGATCTGGACCAAAGTAGTGGCATGACAGGTACGGTTCCCAGAACACTTCAGTATCACCTCGGGCTGACATCGACCTCGCAAACGCCGTCGAAACCGATCTCGGGGTGCTCCATACCATGATGCGGGCAGGCCCAGACGGTTTAGGGAATGAAGACGACATGGTTTATTGTGCACGCCCTTCTTTTGAATGTTCGTACTTTGTTAACCTGCAAAGAGAAATATATCGGTATATCATGTTTCAAAAGTATGATGGGTCTAAGTTGGCACTGGTGTCACACAAGGCCATGGATATCATGTATCATCTTCCTTTTACTTTGCGACTCCCGATCCCCCTCCCCCTCTCTCTCTCCAAAAGGAGGATCGATTTTGATCGATTTTTTAAAAGAGGGGGAATAATATTGAATATATCCTAAAAGTTGGTTATTATCTTTAATAAAAAAGGGGACACATTTGGGGACTTGTGTACTTAAAGTATTCCATTTTGGATTTAAATGTGAGAATGGGTCAGGTGCCCCTCCCCCCTCTCGATCAATCCCCCGAGTGTTCTCTGTTATTTTCTCTCTCTCCCTCCGCAATCTCTCTCTCTCTTTCTTTTTCTATTAACCACCAAATAAAAATACTATAAAGGCACGAATTACAGAATGCTCCTATAGTTTAATAGGATTTTTGTGTAACAACTTAACGATTGTATTTCAATCGTCTTGCCGCACAGAATGCGATGATTCCAGTTATCGAATTAGACTTGACAATTGACTGGAACGGAAGGAAGGAAGCACAAGAATATCAACATGGATATACGATCAATACCGTTCGCATCGGCATATTACAAAATTATATAGGCTCTATTAAAGTTGACACTGGTGTCCCAATAATTGTTCAGAATGTATTTAAGAACTTACCAAGTTTGATGCTTTTAGACAATGAGCACAATTCTGCAAGAATTTATAGCTACAAGTGCTGCATATGTAATACGCCGTACTATACAGTCGCGGTTCTTCACGTTCTAAGTTAGCTAGTGAATGTGATAAGTGGGCGATCACGTATCTTACGCAAACACCTGTCCTGACCAAAGTTCAAAGTCCTCATATCATATTGCTTGAAGATTCCATGTGCTGTAGTGCCATACAAGGGATCCGACATTTGCTACGGCCAAAATTGCTCCGAGCTTTCTTTTGCCAAGATTAGATGATGTTGTAATGGGGTTCAAGGTCATTGGTTAAGTGTTAGGGTTAGCGTTAGAGTATGTTTAAGTGTATTGTTTGGTCCATGATGAAAGTTAGTCATTCGGTTAGTCTTAAAATTCACCATGAAAAAAATGTCTCGGGAGCAATGGGGCACGTGGATGAAACAGCTATATTGGCCACATTTTGTTTAAGAGTCGAAATGCACCATTGCTGACTCGGACCAGGAACTCACATATCCCTGCTTGGACAGACCAGTTTAGCATGCTTGACATGCTGACCCTGTGTCCGTCTTGCTTCAATTTTAATAATAATAATTTTGTTTAAACTGCAAGTACTATCACCTTTTATTGTGTGATATCGACCTGACTCTTTAAATTATGCTTACTTTTAGAGAAGTTGGGAATTGCAATCTTATGCAGATCTTGCTTTGGAATTTGATCTTTTTATTGCGATACAGTATAAATCTCTATTTTATAAAGCATATATTTGCACTGAAATGACTTTTGTCCTATGTAAAATTGACTCTATTTAAGAAAGCAGCAAAACGAGCAGCCTTTTTTTCAATTTATAGATACGGTTTATAGGTTTTACCCTTTAAATGAATTTTACTTACCTGCATATAGACTTTATATGCCAATACTATGTTTGTAAATATATTTGAAATTGTTTTATCTACATCATTTTGTAAATGCAATATGAATGTCAATGTAATTTACGTTCGGTATGATCTCATGTGAAATAATTATGTTTTCAAGACATTGTAAACGTGCTGAATTCATCTTTTGGTTGCGATGCATTGTACGTAAGAAAGATCAGTCTTGAATTGATTTGAAAACGAATTGAACTAAAACATCGGACTAACTGTTTGTTATCCTAACCTTAGCCTTAAGCCATACTTAAAACTCAACTTGCGACAATAATTCTTATCCTAACCCTACCCCTTTGGACTAACGAAATAACTTTACACTAATCTCAACATTAAAGGAACTTGGTAACATTGTTCAGATGGGAGTAAAAGGTAGTGACTTCAAAGCTTAATGTAAAGTAAAAGATAATCTGAAATCTTTAGTGAAAACGGACCAGTATTAATCATAACAATTGGGACCGGGTCGATTCCTAAATTCTTCCAACTATATTATTATAATTAAATTAAATTGTAGGTGAATGTAAATCGGCAAAAAGCAGTGAATATGCTATATATACCATTCCAAATATTTTAAGTGTTGAAATATTTTTTAAAGCCTGTTCTATTTCCTATTTTCATGGAAAAAAGGTTGGGATAGTTCAAAAATTGGTTGGGTGAATTGACTGTTCTAGGGAGTAACGCATTGACGCCTTCAAAGAAACCTTAACTATCTTTGTGGTTTGAGATTTTTTGACAGTAGAAGGAATATAATAAGTAACATTTCATACCAAACTTAGGCAGTTTTCGTCATCAACCTTCAAAAATGTTACCGGTTCACTCTAACCCACAGCTAAAACCCAATTTTCAACCCTTAACCTTAACCTTACCTTAAACCTAACCCTAACAATGACCATAATACTAACTCTAACCATATATATATATATATATGTATAATCCTAACCCTAATATCGTTCACGAAATAAAGCCTGGGGCATTTATCTCCGGAGGAAAATAGCTGAGCACCGACATAAGACAGGAAAAACTTCAAACGAACAAGAAATCATGGAGTCAACGAGATCAAAGAGCCTGAACTGAGATGAGCGTTATGGTTATGGTAAGTGGATAATTGAATATATATGTATTTTCTATATGAATTTAGAAAAAGGATTCATTATATGACATAAACGTATAAAGGTATCGCGGTCATAGTGGATCAATTGGTTCACGGTGCGAGTCTCATCGCGGCACTTATGTCCTTTGGCAAGACATTTATCTATATTTGCCAGCGTCTATCCAGGTGTGTATAATGGGTACCCGGTAGGAAGCAAACGTTAGTGTGGTTAAACTGGAATGAGTGTGCTTTTAAAATTGCCCATGGTCGGAATAATCCCAGGTAGCGGATCATGTGCGCTATCATGCAACGGGTAGCAGTTCGATCCAATGAGCGGGGAAATACAAATTACAATGTAAAACGCTTTACTAGAAACAATAAATATGAAGAATATTTAACCACTCGACGATTACGAGCAGAGAGAATCCATTAATGTAGACTTTGGATTTTAAGAGAACGTATCAAAGTTCGGTCATATAATATATGACCGAACTTTCAAACAATCAATCAAAATATAGTCGTGAACTTATATTAAAAGTTCATGACTATATTTTGTTTGATTGTTTGATTTTCACGCATTTTGAATTGTTGAAATCATTTTTTACGCTGGTGTAAATGATGAATTCAAGGGCATTGGGTAAACATCCCTTGCTTTTGAGTGAAGGAAACAATTAAAATCAATCAGTAATTTTGTGAAATTATTCCTCATGTATTATTGAAAATTCAAAAAATCCTATTAAAATAATAAATTAGGTTTAGAACATCCTATAAGTATAAGTGTATATGACAATGTTTATTTGTACACTACGCATGTAAAGAGTGCGTGTGCTCGTATGTGAGCTCGTTTAAGCAAATATGTGTAGAGGAAATCAAGTTTGCGATTAACAAACAGAATACATATTAAGCAATAATTTGCAGAGTACAATAGTGCCACGCCAAGGCATAACCTCTTTAGTAGGTTTTGTTTTAAAGCCACACTGTCCTACTGGTAGCTACTTGCTCCCTTTATATAGAAAACCTCCTCAATCGGTGCCTGTTGGTCCCCCTGTCCCCCATGATCCTCTTTTTCTCATGATAATTGAGAGCTGAGTTAATAAGATAGCCACCTGTCACAGTGACCTCGATGGCTCGCTAGGAGATCTAATCCCTTCTGGCTAAACTAGTACAGCTGGACTTTAATGATTAAATATGTTGTATTATTAAATTTTAAAAAATAAAATAGAAAAATAGTTGATACATACTTTAAGATATCAAACATCAAAATTAAATTATATGTAATATCACATTTATTGTAGGATTTCCAAATTCGCGTGTTTGTCATTCGAATTCATTTACTTTGCATTTAAGTTAGCGCAGATCGGCTTTGCCATGCCAATTATCATTCAATTTTCCAGTTTTTGTATTTAATTATGGATTTTGGTCGAAGGGTTTCATAGATCTGTCATTCGATTTAGAAACTGCTCAACTAGCATTCAAATTAATATTCACTTGTCGAAGCGTAATTGTTATCATTCAAATTAACACCTGTCATTCGTATTCGTAATAATTTTGTTCAAGTTAGGAATGTTAAGGGAAGAATTGCAACAAACTTTTACAGTTTTTAAATAATGCAGTTAAAATGCATGATATGCCATTGGGGTCCAAGCTGTTATTCCATTTATTCATTTTCAGGACAATGCAGATGGGTGTAGTCAGAAATAAAGTAAAAAAGGGGTGAAATTAAAGGATATGGCATTTCTGCACGGACATGTTCATATACCCGGGAAAGGTGGGGGTACCCTCAATCGCCCCTTTTTACTACAGACTCAGAATTTTACAAAAGTAATTCACATCGTCTCTTATACCCATCACATCCCTCTGTTTTTCTTAAAGAGTTTCATAATTTACTTGCCCGCCAGCAGATCGATGGCTAAAGACTTGGCTAAATAATGAATCATGTTCAAATTGTTGACTCTAGTCCCTACACTGTAAAAAAATAATAGTCGAAATAACTCAATAAAATTGAGGAAAAGAATTGCCTTATTTTTATTAAGTAAATATTACCTACGGCATCTTAAGTAGAATTTACTTATTTTGCTGAATAAATTTTTACTCAGTTAAATCGAGTTACATTAACGTAAATAATTTAAGTATTGTAATCATTTTAGATAATTTAAAAAAAGCTATGATAGGATTACATATTGCACGATTTGGTACCCATCTAATCTAACAAGTAACATCCACTAATCATTCACTACTTCTATTTAAGATTAATCACTAATCACTAACACTACTTCTATTTAAGATTTAACCGATACGCTTCAATTCGACACATATTGAAAGGCTCCAAATTTTATATATACTTGATCGTAGCATCTTAAAGGAAAATTGGTTGACAATTTCCTGAAATATCAAGTTTTTATTTGTTTTGAACTGGGTAACAATTAAAAATTGTCTTGTCTTTGCTTAGCCATGTTAAATGAATTAGTAAATGTTATAAAGTCCTTAAATTTTCATTCAACCACAAAAAAGAATTGTTTTATTTAAAAAAGAGTTTAATTTGGTCTTAATGAATATTCATGAATTATGTAAATATTTCTATTACGCACTGCATCGGTCCTTACTTTAAAAAGATAAGAATAATCAACATAAATTGTTTGAGTAATACGTATAATTTCTGATTTTGAGTTAAAATTACTAAATTAATACAAGCTGAAATTACTTAAAGTTCTTATGTATTTGATTTTACTTAAATATTCCACGTATGTTCTACTAAATTGAAAGTTTGAGTTAGCAAGACTTAAATTTAGTGCGTAAGTGGCAAAACTAATGTTTTCAAGTAAATTCTACATGGAAAAAATACGTAAAAATTACCAATGAACAAATTCTTTTTTACAGTGTACTCCAGTCACAATATTGTACCCTTCTTCCATAATGAAATTATGATGAAATTATGATAAATTTATGATGAAACATTAGACAAACAACTTCCTTACATGAAAATTTACAAATATATTGAGACCATCAGGTCCGTAGATGCAAGTCGTTTTTTTCTTCTTAACAATCAAACTTAAATGCTGATGAATATCAAATAAATCTAATAAGTATTAGTGTATAAATGCAACAAAATGAAATATGATGAAATAAACCTGACAAAAAAATCTTGAAAGAAAAAGAATGAGCTATAAAAAGTGTGTAATAAACGAGAAATGTATATTTACCATCAACAAATCTTGAAAGAAAAAGAATGAGCTATAAAAAGTGTGTAATAAACGAGAAATGTATATTGACCATCAATTTAAGTGCACAAAGTGCTAATTTACATGCTACAAATGAATTAGAATGCTAGAAGTACACCGTCGCGCTGTCAAAAAATCGTGTTACGCCAAATTGAATGACCAAATAGCGAAAGAAGCACATTGTTCATTAATTTGAATGAAACATACGTAGATTCTAACGAAAATTCCATAGATTTGAAAACTAGAAAAAAAAATATAAACCCGAGATAAACCGTCGAATTTGAACGAAAGAAAAATTAATTTAAATGACAAACTCGCGAATTTGGCCGGAAAATCCTATATTGTTATTACTATCATTAATCAAATGATTATCATTATTATTATATTTGTTGTTGTTTTCATTGTTATCATTATCATCCTTGTCATTACGAGCTCTTTCTTACATATACAAACCATATAACTTAACACCCTTCTCCTCTACCTCCCCCCCCCCCCCCCCTCTCAGTCCCCCTTTGTTCTTCGTTACTGTGAGAATCAATCGTTTAAATTTGTGTAGGGTGTATTTTGACTAAACTCCTTCCGCATTTGCTAATAAAAATACGTTTATCCATGATCTTTTGGTGGTATAGTTTAGTGTATGTATTTTATATCATGGTTATATCCATCGCATTTGTGGAATGGAAGTCGATATTGCAATTGAAATCGAATTTACCGCTTGAGTGCTGGATGTTTGAACTATCATTTCGTCAAACTTTAGATTGCCAGTTGGGATTAAGCACATCGTGAAATAACTAATGAGGGGATTCAGAGTGACGGTAGTCTGCTTTTAATTAGGCTAAGTACAATTGTGATAGCGGGTTTTTAAATAATGTTGTTAATTTATTTGAGTTTTTTTTTTATTATTGCTTTACATCTGTGTATGTATTCTTTTCATTAAACACCATAGAAGAGCAGTGTCATTTTGAAAATGCCACTGAAATGGGCTATCCACCATATTTGGATATATTCATGCTCTACCCTGTATAAATGTATTTATTTCTATCATTCGTATGAAAATACAAATAAACAAACGATCGAGTCAATAGCATTAGTACAATATTCTTTTGTTTCCTCGAGAACATGTCAGACAGAACGAAAGAGAGAGAGAGAGAGAGAGAGAATTTGTCAGAATGATGTTTAGTAGCGTTAGTTGAGAGTGACAATGACGAGACTTTCTTTTGAAATAGGTATTTAAAAAACATTTCCCGTTGAATCTTTTTATCTACGTCATATGCAAACACATAATGAGTTAACGCTTTATGAAAACCACATTTAGAGCACGAGGGGATGACATTAACACAAAAACATAATATAACCAATAAAGTACTTATTATAAAGTTTTAATTTAATGAATAACAATACGACTAAAAAATTCTTATTATTGACAAAGTAATGAAAATATCTTAACTATGATTCATTAACAAATAGTGCATTAGGTGGACAGGATGTCAATTTAAGAAAAAGGATATACCGTACGTGTATACAATTCGGGGAAAAAGTTATGCCCAAAATTAATTAGCGATATAGGCGTATTAATAGGGGAACTCCAAATTGTGCTCAATTTCTTTTATTAAGTTGGTATTAAAGGGGTTTGTCAGAAATACCGTCTATCATAGAAGTCCTTTTTCCTTTTTCGTGAGTATGTGTTCTTATGGGTGTGTGGGTGGGTGAGTGAGTGTGTGTGTGTGTGTGTGGTGCTCTAATGTGGGTCTGCGCGCGCGCGCGCGCGTGTGTGTGTATAAATAAATATATAAGACAGGCATTTTGTGAAGAAAAGGCATGAACCTCCAATCAATTGTAACATACAATCTCTTAAACTAATAAGATATACATCTGCTTGAGAATGTGCTCGCTACTACTATTATTGTATTAATATTATTAAAATTATAATTGGCTACAATGTATTACCTGATTCTTGGACTTCTTATTTTTGTTGTCTACATCAAGCAAATACGTGAAACGTGAATTGTCGACAAATCCTAACATCCTCCCCCTCGTCTTTTTTCGTATCTAAAGAATGAAAGGTTGACAGGCTAAATAAGGGCCTTTGCTGAAGACTTTTAGATGTACGATTTAGGCTAATATGTCATATTCTCAAGAAACATAAATCGGGACGAATCAATTTTTCAGAAACTTTTAGATGAAAAAACTTGGTAAGGGTATGAATTCTTAAGTTTTTTGACTGTATGTATGTTAATGTTTTAAAGATTCAGGCTATTTGGCAATTCAAATATATACAATATATATATGTATATATATTTTTTTTCTACAGATGTTTGTTTTGATTTTTATAATTTCACAAATGTTTTCTCTCTTCTTCTCGGTCGATTAACAGGTTTTCTTTAGATATTTCTTTAGATCTTTTAACTTTTATGGGCATGGTTTCAAGAATAAAAAAATAAGGATATGAATCGAAAGTCAGCAGCTATAAGTTGATGCCTCATAATGTATCTCAGTGGTTAAAATTTGTCCCAGCAAGCACACTCCCGTGCGTTTAATGTACGTGAAACACTTGCACGGTCCATCTTCGAGACAAAGTTGACCGCACCTAATGACGGACGTCACGTCTTCGTGGGATGAGTGAGTGTCAGTGAGTGCCCGGTCATTGGCAACAAGTCTATATACTGCGGATCGTTTGAAGACTGTCATGAAGAAAATAAACAAGCAATATTGATGTTATCTAAACATTGGATGCAGCGGCAATTTTTTGATCTACAGAGTCTTGGGCGAGGGTCACAAAGTCAACTACACTACCACACAGAGAGCGCGTTAGAAAACGGACCTAACTTTTCATTTTCGTTCTAATCCCATTGCGTATAAGAGCCAAGGCGCATCACCAATGTATATACCAATTTAAAGTAGATTCTTGGTGATCAAGTGGCAAACAGGAATTTTCACGTTAAACTAAAAATGATTTATTTGAAAGGTTTTCTCTGAAACTTACCGGTCACATGAGCTGTTCCATAGAGCTCCATACGGAGGCTGATATGCCCATGCCAGGTCAGGGGTAGCAGGCGGACATAGCGACAGACTTGAGGCACGGGCAACGTGTTGTTTACCACAGTGTCCTGGTCAATATTGCCATCGAAGACCTTTATTTAACAGGGAAAAAAATATTTTCTTTACCATAGGCGTAGCCAGGAGCACAAATAAGGGCCTACTTCCTCCTATTCGTCCACCTGAAAATAGGTCAACAACAAAACGTGTGGATCTTCACTTCTTTGGGTTACATGAACGTTCGTGAATACTCGAGTACTCATTTCCAAAGGGTCAGGGGTAACGCCTGTGAAATGCATACCTCTTATTAGGTATAGCACACCAAAAATAAGTACAACAAACTCATGTTATTTGATGATTGCAAATGATCAAGCTTGATGAAAGTTTCAAAAAATAAAAAAACAGAATTGAAATTGGTCAATGCGTTCTGATTTTATACCATTTTTTGATTTCGCAAAATTACCGAAAAACCTGCCAGAAATGGTCAAATTGGCAAAAATGGCAAAATTCGACAAAGTTGACAACTTTATTCATCACTTTCTCAGACACAAATAATAAATTAAATTATCAGACACTAAAATATCATCTTTGTGGTAAGAAATACAAAAAAGAAAATTCATATATCTATTACCGTTTTGAAAACAGAAGCAAACAAAATTTTAAAGTCATTTTTGCCATTTTTGCGAATCTGCAGATATGAAAAAGTTGTAAAAATAACTAAGTCCGCCTAATTAATATGCGCAAATGTAATCAAATCAAAACCGAACATGATACATCAATGAAACCTAAGTATATCAGACAGATATGGAAAACAAAATTATGAATATTCATCAAATATTCATCAATTCATGCAAATTAGGTCATTTCAGATAATTATATATATATATATATATACATATATATATATATATAGGAAAGTCAAAAAGTTGGCATTTTTTTAATTATATATTTATAGATCATATTTACACCAAATATTAACATTAAATTCCAAATATTTTTGCAATGCCAATACAAAAATGGCGATGGAAATCAATTGGATCACCGTCACAGCTATTTCCTCATATGTTTCACAAATTATTCAGAAAACCCGATCAAATGTTAAGAATTTGCAGACTTTCAGCTACATCACAGTATATTTTTTTTTTAATTTCAAGATTTGAGGATTTATGACGATTTTCCGAGAAACCATTCAACAGGCTATAACATTCTACAAGAACTGAATTTTAGAGAAAAACAAAATTTGATTACCCCCGTATAATTGTGGCTAACTTGAGTGTAAATAACAAATTGATTAAAAAAGTGAAACATATGAGGATATTGCATTTTGTAGGGAAGTTTTATACATTAAGGTGCATTTTCATCACGCAGAATAACAGTCAATGGGCGATGTCACACATGGCTGAAAAGACAACATTCTAATTAATAATTTAACATATTTCCCACATGCCTATAACAATGAAACTACACAGAATTGTAGTTAAAGGTATGCTTAAAAGATATGTGAAATAAAAATTCAAAAATATTGTTCAGTTGTTTAAAATAAATTTACGAAAATTGCTATTTCTGCCAACTGACTGCTGTTGTGTGTGTGTGTGTTTGTGTGTGTGGTGGTGGTGGTGTGTGTGTGTGTAAAAAAAAAAAAATTTTAAAGTGTGTGTGTGTGTGACTATGTTACAATGGAACTCGGGTGTCACCCCCACACCTCTCCCATATCCGTACCTTACCGTAGATGGGAAAATTCAGGTTTTATAATAACTTATATTATTGAGGGTATAAAATGCGGAAAATTTCTGTATCACGGTCGCTTTGCTCCCTTTCATATGGTGTTTTTGTATCTCAAAATTTCGCGCCCCAGTATGGTATTGTTTATAAAGACCGTTCCTTAAAGATTTAACGTTTCGGGGAAAACTGAAGTCTCGTTGCTTAACTCCCTTTAAAGCAAAAAGGTTTAATTGTCCTGGTGATATTATGCCCCCAATACAAAACTATAACTGGCATATGTTAAACATTTGGAGAAAAAAAATGCATCATTCAATAGTCTTGCTTAATTAATCAACTTCTCTCGTGCCTTCCATACTTTTGCACCTTATTTCTATAATATGTGAATAAAAAGCAGTTTATCGATCTTCAACATCGGATGGAAACCATACCGCTTGGTAGGAGTGCTTTCTTGCAAATGTTCCTGTATTCAAGATGGCTAAAACGCATAGAAATTGCGTTTATGAGGGTCATACATTAAAACAAAAAATTATCTAACACTCTGTCAGGTTGCACGACACTTGTTCATGCGGCAATTGCTCCGCGTCTAAGCCCTACCCTTACCAACCCTTAACCTAACACTACATGTACACCTAATCCTATTAACACTTATCCTAAACCAAACTTACGACCCGATGCAATCCTAACCCCAATCCTGTTGAAGGAGGCGTGATGGCATTCAGTGGTCTCGTAGTAGACAAAAGCTCAAACCCATTAACGAAGGGTTTTACATTTTTTGGAGCAAGATTCGAACCTCTATGACTGTGCGGACGCCTCAGCATAAATACAAAGTCCAGCTCTTAACAAAGCAGTACCTCGTTGCGAACGATAACTGTTTTCCTCATCCAATAGCCGCCAAATCACACCTACAATACAGACACCAGACCAGACCTACAACAGATCCAACCAAAAATGACATACAGTGTAAGTCAAAAAAAAGTTTACACCTAGAAAATAGCTAATTATTTTAAAAATCATCTACGAACAGTAAATTATTATACATCTCATGAAAGAGTGTTTCATTCCAAATTATTTGGTACCATTTTTGTGAGGTATGTTTTTATGCTTGGATGAACAGGAGGCATTGCTTGCGAGAGTGCAAAAATCGACTCGCGCCAAAGTTGCTCATGTGATGTTTGACAATTGGGATTTGGGTATTAATTCGGTCTTTGCAAATCCAAATAACATCCCTAACAAAATTAATCATCCCAAACATATAACATATCGAATATCAAATATCATCAAACATTTGTGCACGTGTGTGTGTGACTTCACTTCTGCAAAAAGCATATGCAATGCATTTAATTTGATACATTCAATTTATTCTCGCACTCCGCTAATCCCAACATAATACATGCTGTAGGCATCACTTTGGCGCAAGTCAACTTTTGCATCCAAGCATGAACACAAACCACACATAAATGATACCAAATGATTTGGAATGAAACACTTGCTCATTATATTTATAATAATTTACTGTTCATGGATGATTTTAAAAATAATTAGCAATTTTCTAGGTGTAAACTTTTTTTTTACTCATAAGGTATACGCGCCTACGGCCAATAATTGGTCGGTTTTTAAACGATGTGGAGTCGGTTTGACGGTGTGACCGAATGTATCAGCATTTACCTTTTCGATGCAGGGGATGCCGAGGTCTTGTACTGTTTCAAAGGAAACTCCATCAATACTGCAGGCAATCTTGAAGCTAGTTACCCATTGTGGACAACAATTCTGACGACCTTGCGTTGCCAATCTAAAGATTCGATGCGGGGTTAACAGATCAACCTTAATGAAAAATATGAACGATGATGACGATGATGATTATAATGATGAATTGATAATAATAATAATTATGATACTAATAATTTTAGTAATGATACTCAATAATATAACTCGTATGAGCATTTTAATTTCCACAATCGTTATTATTATTATCATATCGTTTTTATCATGATGTTAAACAAACTTCAATATATATATATATATATATATATTTATTTATTTAAGAATAATGATGCTCTGCAGACGAAGACATAGTTTAACAAATATTCCCCCTTAGGGCTTTGTTAACTTTTATTTTATATGACTTTAAAAATGTTATCGTTATGCATCAAAATAGCACATCAAATCCCAATGAAATACGCATACAATATAAATATGCGTGTGTGTATGTGTATGTGTGTGGGGGGCTGATAGTGTGTTTGTGTGGGTGAGTTTATGCGTGTGTGTTAGTCCCTCTCTCTCTCTCTCTCTCTCTCTCCCTCTCTCCCTTTCTCTCTCCCTCTCTCTCTCCTTTCTCTCTCTCTCTCTATAAATATTAATATAATTGTAAGGAAATAACCCATACATAACAGCTGTTGCAACTCTCGTGGAAATAATTTCAAGGCGAAACGAAATTTAATTACTTTTCTCCCCCCCCCCCTCCTTTTTTTCTCTTTTGAAAATTGATTTAATAATATATGTTGTATTAAAGAGAATAATAATTAAAATATATATGTTTATATATATAGCAATGCTTGCTGATAGATGTTTCCATTCTTCCTCAAAAAACAAACAATTATTTATCATCATTAACAAAAATAGATTTCCCTTATTCCAAAGAACGGTTACTGAGGCACCGGCGAATGTTTCTTGTATTTTTTGTAATACCTGTATCCATTGGTTAACATCGTTCACTCCTGCTGACCAGGCTCCACTCAGAGAACGGACTTGAACTAAGTTCAGTCTCGCTCTTTTTGGTCCATGATTGGCCTTCCACATGCTAGACGCTGTCAGGCTAGAATCTGGAATGGTCCCACTTTCAAGGCCCAGAGCGATGACATCTAACGATAATGATGACGATGATAACGATAATGACTCTAATAATGACGATGTTAATATAATGTTTTATATATCGAAGATAAACTCAGAATAGAAATTCAGAAATTCAGAAATCTAAGTTATTGATATATATAAAACTGAGAGCAGACAGTTAAATCCAACTTAATTAAAACTATATAAAATAACAAGCTAGGAAGATAAACATATCTGTTTGTGTAATGGTTTTAAGGTGCGAAAGAATGACTTCTATTGATTACTCATGTGCTCCACCTTCCCCCACATTCGATCAATGAAAATATGTTTTAGGAGGATACGTGATAGCAAGGACATATTTCATTGGAAATATTTAGGAGTTGTAGTCGCGATGACGAAAGCCACAACTTAACATTTATTTCACTACCCCCCCCCCCCCCCCTCCCCCTAATTCAGTCTGTTTCACTGCCCTTTTTGATATTATAATGGTGTCGGGATACAATTTAATTACACTTAAATAACAATCAACATATCCTTCATGAGACGAGGAGCGTTCATTGTAGTTGAATTATTATAAAGTGATCTAACTCCAAGCACTTATCAGGTTATTTGTTACATTTCAAGGCTAAATGGGCAGAGTAGGGGAAAAAGAAGATTAAAGAGGGTAACAGGGAAGATAATTGCAGAGAGAGAGAGAGAGATATGGATAAGGAAATGGGGGAGATGAGGAGTCTCACTCTTACCATATAATGTTGGGAAATAGTAAAGGGGCACCAATAACAGGCGTTGAAGAGAGAACATAGGACAAAGAAATGGACAGAAATGAGGAATATGACAGGGAGAAAGCGAGAAAAAAAAACCACAAAGAGAGAGAGAGAGAGAGAGAGAGAGAGAGAGAGAGTGATCGAGAGATTGGGAGAGAAGGAGTCTAGCAAACCATTGAATGTCACGGGGAATAGTAACGGGGCAGCAATGACAGACCTAGAACAAAGAGAGTGGGAGAGAAAAATGGAGATAGTAGGACAAAGAAAAGATGAAGGGCGAAGATCATTAAAGGAAGATAGGGGAGAGACAGAGGTGTGGAGGAGGAGTCTAACCATTAGATGTACACGTAATAAAGAAAGGAGGATAAAGAAATCGAGGGGACGAGAAGGGAGTAGAGGAGGGGGTCAAGGATGAGAGAGGAGGATAGATAGGGAAAGGTAAAAGAGACATGGTTATAGGAAGAGGAGGAGTCTTACCACTCAATGTATTTTCTTGTGCCAAAGGAGAAATCAGTTGACTGAATACTATAAGTGTACAAAGTACAGCTTCTCCTATCTGCAAATAAATCAATATGTCATCAAATATCATTCTACTAAATGAGACATCAGGTGATGAGCTAGAGGCAATGGTACAATAATATGATTCATTTCAAAGTTAACCGAACATGTATTTTCTTCCAGATTATTTTATTTTTATTTTAACTACATAAAAACGTATCTATGTGTGCATAATGTATGAAAGTGGTAATACAAAGCATAAGGCGCAAATCCCACGAGGCATGTTGCTTTACAGGCGGTCCCAGCTATTATTGATATAATATTACGTACCAGATCAATAAGTATTCCTGCTGTCATTCTCAGTCTGGATGACATGAAAGCATTTGACATGCTTAAACTCTTTCCATGTCGGTTCTTACATTTGTTAAAAATGATAGTTATGATTGTATTGCTTCAAATCAGAATACAAAAACGAATCCTTTTGTGAAGGACATTTACATCAATATAACAAAAACATAGTAATGAGTGGTACATTATGAAATATAGCGTATAGAATACAGCGAAGATAACATTGATAACAATATTAATTATGTATTATGTTTTGCCATTTCAACGTATGTTAAAGCATTTGTCACCGTCTTGTAGCAATAACCCTTTCCATTTTGTTTAAATAAATGATTTCCAACTTGAACTGTATAAGTCTAAAGTTATTTTATTTGCATTTATTTCGAAAAAATAAAGTGTTTACTATACATAACAAAAGTGTTTATTATTCTGTTACTAGTCTCGACTCCAAAACATATATCTGTGAGTGAGAATGGAAAACTGAATTATTAGGACAATTATAGAAGAAATGGATTAACGTTTTCATATCTGTTTAAACAAAATTGCATATTGGTGTACTTTTTATACCGATACGGTGGAAATATTCAATTGTAGAAATCCTTCGATGGAGGAATTTTAACTGAAATTCGCGTAATCTGGAATCTGAAGTTGCCAGAAGTGGTTTGTGAAACGATTTTTCGCTCAAATTGTAGCTAGGTGCTCTTTGTAAGACTAAGAAAGCTGTGTCATTAACCAATGATTATCTACAGGTTACTACACGGCTATAGAGAAGTATTAGACATAGGGAACACCCTTTCCCCGTATCTGTTTAAACTTGCAATAGAAATGTTAGCATTAAATATTAAACAATATGAGGAAATCCCAGGAGTTATAATAAAAGACCATGAGGAAATTTAACTAAACAAATATTTGCTGATGATATAACACTCTTTATTTCCGATATTGGTTGTTCCCAAAAGGGAAGTCAATCATATGTAAACCGTATATGTGTTCATTTCTTGCTATCAATTAAACAAAATGTAAAGCAATGCAGGTTGGTTCAATCATTGAATCTTTAATTAGTTAAATACACAAAATTTAAACGTACTCTGTTTCTCAATCTGTTTTAATTGCTAGCGTGTTGCCTACGCCTCCAGGTGTAATGAAGAAAATCAATATCCTTTTATTAAATTTTGTCTGGATGGTCCTGACAGAATAAAGAAGGAAATGTCGATAACAAAATATGGGGAAGGTGAATTGAAAATGGTTTTGATTGATTAATTGATTGATTGAAACGATTTATTTATTACCAAAATAAATAGTAATAATAAAGAAAAAACGCTCGGCTGTTCGACACTTGAATCGAGAGGAATGTATATACTTACATCATGGAAAGCAATACAAAGTAACACATATCCAGATACAGTCTGATATAATACATTTATAATGTATAGGCGTATAATATCCTATTTGTGCCAAAATTAACATATATATATGCAAAGGACAAGAAAGACATGTAAAGTGAGAGACAAACATGAAGAAGAAAAGTAGGGCAAAACAGAAGAAAAAAGGATAAAGGAAGTTGGAGGAAGTGATTTCTAGACAGATAGAGATGAAAAGAGAAAGTGAGGAAGCATGAGACAGGAAATGTGGCAAAAGAGAGAAAATAACTTAAAAAAAGAAAAAGGAAAAGAGAGAAAATAATTGGTAGAAATACAGAGGGAGAGAAAAAACAAACAATACATAACCAAAAGCCAATCATTTAATCGATTTGTAAACAAAGTCAATTTCGAGTTTAAGTCCAACAGAGGATATTAAACCTTTTGCAAATAAAGTTATTTTCGAGTTTTAACCTAACCCAGTAAAGATTATAGAGGGAAAAAGATACAAAGAAATAAGGCTTGCAGAAGAAGGAGAGAGAAACTCTAAAGTGGGAATGGGCTCTAAGTTGCTTTAAATTAAGGGTGCATGTTATGGAGAAAAGAACATTTGCTAGGAAAGAAAAGGTGCAAGTGTCAAAATAAAAAGGGCAATATTATCAGAGGTTAAAAGGGAATCGATTCGCACCTAAAAAGGTACACTCACCGGAGATGAAAAAGAGAACTAGTCTTATGAGAATGGAAATGAGGCATCTGTCGATGGACAAGGGGCATCTATCAGGCGCAGTTATAAAAAGGGAAAATAAGCACTTATCCAAAGAAAATAGGGTTTCTATTAAAAAGGAAAAGGGGCACGTGTCAAAATAAAAGGGGCACTGATAAGTCTGAGAGATGAAAAGAGGCATTTTAGAGAAAGGAAAAGAGGCATTTGTTTAAGGAAAAGGAGCACCTATTATATTTTATAGGGGCAATTATTACAAAGGAAAAGGGGCACTTATCGAAGGTATTAAGATACACTTCTCGTAATTGAAAAGGGACACTAACCGGTGATGAAAAAGGACACTTCTGAGAATGCAACAAGAAAACTTATTGCACAGCTAGATAGTGGGCACTAATCAGAATTTTTACAGGGGCATTTATCAAAGGTGAGATGGGCAGTTATGAGAAAAGGAAGGGGCTATTAAAAAAATGAATATGGGGCACGCTTTGTGCCTTGCGCTACTTCGGAAGTAACAGGACAGGGGCCTGACAGAGTTAATCAAATATTTATGATACCATGGAATGTTACAATTGACTCAAGGTTGAGAGTACTACATTATTGTTTGTCAATAGCGGGATCCCTACTTCTGTTATGTTATAATGCATTTGGGGGAAAAAAGAATGTACATTCGGTAAAACAGTGGATGAAATTTGTATTGCATCGCAAATTCATGTCCGTCACACCCGGCGTTTAAGATATGATGCAACAGCAGAATAGCACATTTATAAACGATACACAAACTTATCTTCATACTCATTTTTAAAAAGTGGAATAGAATGTTTCAATATTGCATTACACATCATGTTTAATATTACATGTACGTAAGGCTTCCTAGCATAACTGTCTCACAACATTCTTCGTTACATATCTTTAGTTGTTTCTTTGTTTTTTCAACATATTCGTTATCTTGCAAATAAATCAAAATGATTCGTACTTTTCCTATCATATTAACGTGATCAGACGATGTAAATGTATACTTTGCTATTTGTCTGATTAAAAAAACAATGAAGCAAATCGCTTGTGCTGGAGGCGCCTTTGTAAGAAGCAATAAAATAATTATAATAACAGTATTTTTTATCAATTTTGATTCACTCCATGGTTTCGTATTCATAATTCCACCTTATGAGTTTATTAATTTTGGGATACATTTCGCCTCGTTTGAACTAAGAACTCAATTATATTGAAAAACATAAAACTGCAACATAACTCTATTCGTCAGAAATCTATCATTCTGTTTGTATATATATATATATATATAACAAAAAAAAGAGGATATATATACATATCAGT